CAGAGACTCTTCCCAAAGAAGTCAACTTTCAACAGGTTTAGAAAAGAAAATTACCAACAAAACCCACCCCCAAGCCCTTTGGCCATGCAGAACCTTGCTTTGATCCCTGAACAAGCCACAGGACTTCACTATGGGAGGGGGGAGACCTTTTTGGAATAAATCCTGCACCGGTGGGGAAAATTTGGAAGAGCAAAAGCTGCTGGGTACCATTGGGAGCCAGGTCAGCCTGGAGAAGAGGTGACTCCAAGCTGCAGGGAAGTGAGCAGAGAAGGGCAGAGCAAACCCCTCCCTCCCCAGGGATGGTCCAAGGCCCAAACCCCCTCACTCTCAGTGACCGCAACTCCCACGCTCCAGGAGCCTCAACTACTTGCACTTCCCCATCTTTACCACTGTGACCACACTGGCCATGTACCATCCAAACAACTCAATTTTAACCTTCCTCAATAAAGCAAAACTCAGCCTGGAGAACATGTTTATGTAACTTCACCAGTATTACCAAAAAAAAAAAGCAGTTACGTAAAGGAACAAACAAGTTTGGGGCGGGTGTTTGTGGCTGTCACTGTTATCCCCAAGGTGAGTGGGAAGGAGGTGAGCTGCGTGCATATTCCCTTTTTACTTCTTTTTTGGCAGAAATAGAACACTGCTTAGGCATAATTTACATTAGAGTTTCTAATTTAGCATCAAGGTTGCTGAAGGGAAAGCAGCTTGCATTTACCGGAAGATTAAAAATAACATCAAAAGCAGCGTTGGAGACGGGCAAAGCCCCAGAAGTTGGTGCTGCAAAGGGCAGGGGGTGTGTTGCTCTGCTGTGGGATCCAGGCTCACAGCTGGCTTTTCCAGGGAATTCACTGAGTGGACCAAAAAGCAAAAATAAAAATAAAATCTGCCATTTCCCACATGCAGCCTAATCATTGTCACTAAACACAACATGTATGTCCCCCCACGGACTTCTTATGATAAAGAGAAGAAGAATTGGTCTCCTTTCAAATGTTTCAGAAGTGATGGAGGCCTCTTTTGTTCTCTTGAACAAAAGAAAAACAAACAACCTGACCATAAAAATCATGGGCTGCCTGCAAAAAGGCAAGTTGGGATACCACGAGGAAAGCAAGTGATTGATTTAGGTTTATTGTGACAGGCTGTAGTCACTGGGCTCATAAATTAGCAATTAGAGCCTAATTCAGAAGCAAATCAACCAAGGGTTCTTTCCTTGGTAGCTTTTCCTTTGAGTTTCCAAGCCCACCTAGTTCAGGAAATGCTGATTTTCCTCTACAGATGTGTCAGAAACCAGCAAACCTTCCACAGTAGTTCTTCAGCTACAGCTGAGATAGTCTCAAAATCATCTCTCTCTACTTGAGTATTTCAAGAAAACCCATTAAATAGAGAAAGGCTGGTGCTGATATTAATAGTAGGTGGGGTCTTGGCGAATTTCTGACATTCAAACAGCTGAATTATTTTTCTCAGCAGAGCTTGGCTTGTTAAAGTGAGAAAATTTGGGGCAGGGGAACCATGAGCTGTTTTAAAATCAGGGACTGCTCTCTGAACACATTTTGGCATGAGAGTGATTCCATCATTCATAATTTCATCTCCTACAGGTTTCACAGTATATGTTATTTAAAGAAATTCATTTCCTGCTGCATGATTTATGAGGGGGAAACAGGATGCCGAGGGGAACCAGACTGATCAGATGCATCAGAAGTTTCCAATATGAGCACTTGCCATGGGGTTATTTCCTCATCCCCTGTCAACTCATCCTGATATTTCTTCTCCCTGGTAGAAACACTCACCCAGTTGCTTTAAGATTTTAGTTTCCATAGAAACTGTTGTTGGCTAAAATAAATCCAAGACGGGAAGAAGCGCAAATTCCCTCGTCCTGCGAGCTTGCAGCTGCCAAATTTTCACCACCTGACCCTTCCTCGGGACTGACTGGTGCCTGACCTTCTCAGCCATGACTCCCTCATGGACCCTCTTTTGAGTGGCACTTCCCCAATTTGCAGAAGGTGTGTGAATACCCAGAGCTATTTCCACGCCTCCTTGTACAAAATCACGTTTCTTTTATTTTATTTTCTTTTGCAAACCTCGACACCGAACTTTACAAGGGAAGAGACGTCTCTCGGCCTGTACATCAACACCAAGCTCCAGGTAAGGTGTGAATAAAGGGAAACAAACCATTGCTTAGGCACAAGTCCTGGTTTTCACATCCTTTCAGCATTTCAAACCACGAGCGTGAGCCCTGAGCACCCACCCTGCTGCTGCTCCTCAGCTCACACAGCTCCGAGTGCCTGAGAGCAGCACATGCCATGGCTGGAATTATGGGCAGTCACGTTCTCTGAAGGAAAAATTAACTGCATAATAATCTCCTGCACTCGAAATTCCTCTTGCTCCCTTTCCTGTCTGATTCTAATGCAAACTAAAAGGGCAAAGTCCTGATAATCATTTTATAACTCCATCACTTCTGTATAATTTCATTGTATTTTGAATTCGGGCCCTCTCTCCTAACATACACAATTAATGTGGTTTTTCTCATTCTCCTCAGAGCATTACTTGAATTTCTCTTCTGGTGTAGAGATCTGCTGCAGTGCCCTGTGCTGCCTGAGATTTGCCTTCATTCCCAGCAATCAGCCTTTCCGTGTATATTGCATCGAGGCAGCAAACTCTGTTACTGCTTCTGAAAATAGCAGCTGAAGGAAGACAGAAGGAGCCATCCCTGACAACGTGCAAAGAGAAGGCAGTGCTGAAGCTCCTCCCAAACACAGGGTCATTCCAAGACACTGCTGACTGCTCTGGGATTGCAGGACAAGCTTTTTCCCTCCCAGGTATCGAGTGATGTGTTCCTGTGGGTCGCTGTCCCCGAGGTCCTCAGGAAGGTCTTTCTTTAGCAGGTGCTTTCCTGAGCTAGTCCCTCGCCCAGCAACAGTGCTGGTGCTCTCCTCTTCAGTCTCCAGGGAAGGGAAAAAGCAGAGAGAGCTTTCAGGAGACTCTAATAATCAGCCCAAACCAGAAGCTGGAGGAGGAGAAGATGGGGTTTTGCACTCTGAGTGCCTGCACAAACCTTGAGTTGATCTCAGCTCATTGCTCGTGCTATCTTAACGTGACAGTTCTGGGATTGAAGCTGCACTTGTGTGTCTGCAACGGAACTTTAAAGGCTAAACTCTTAGGCTATTCCTGAGAGGGAATGGAGAAAATAACCAGACCTGCTGGGTGAGAAACCCAGAAAGATGCAACAACAGACATGCAAGAATGGTCACAAACTATGTGTGTCTGGACTTGTGGAGAAATGCTGTGAAAAGAGAATGTCAGCCAACAAGGCTGATGGAGAAACTGAGAAACCCTTTGTGTTTCTTTGTCTTTATAGGAATTAGAAAGGTACACTGAATGCAGCATGAGAACAGACTGGGTTTTGATAACTAGGACTGCTTGTAGTCCTCTAAAATCATTACTTGGTGATGGTCTTGTGTAGCAGCACCTTACTATGGGTGTTGTTAATGACACTGAAATCGAGTTTACTGTAAAAAAAATAATAATTCCTTTTTTTATTTAAGTCAAGGCTTATTTAAAAAGACACTTATTTCTATCCAAAGGCAGCAGTAGATCAGAAATACACTAAATACACTTGCACTCGACACTCCTTTGCTCAGCCCCTCAACTCAGATTAAAGCACAACTTACACCACTGGCCCCAAAATGAGGTGGTTTTTTCTTTTTTGCACACCATTTTTGCAAGATCCCCTCAACAGCCAACCCAGGTGCTGTTTTCCTTCTGCCCACACACAGATCAATGACAAAAAGCAAACTGGTTCACACAGGTGGTGCATTTCACCCCCCTAAAGAGAGGGGGTTTTCTCGTACCCTTCACTTAATGCCACCGCTGTCAAACCCGTAACGTGCTGTAACAAAAACAGCCTTTATGTAACCCAATAAATAAAAGTCACCAAGGCAATAGCTGTGCATAAATTTCAGCTCAAAACATTTTGTTAGAAGCGCATGAATGTCCTCTGTAAAATGGGTAGCATTTTAAAATAACGTCCTAGACATTGTTAATACTTTATCGCTATTCATCACCGAGCCATTAATCATGGGGCTCTCATTTGGTATTAATGTGCATGTCACAAAGTACTTCTGCTGCATTTCAATTATAACTCAGCCTTTAAAATGCTGCCAGCGCTACATGGGAAGCTTTGAAAACCAAATGTGAATAGTCTGTTCGGAGATAACTACAAGTGCATCCTGGCACAGAGAGAGACGACCTTTTCCGTTCCCAACTCCTGCCCTCAGGGGGCCGAGGAGCCTGTGGGGCTGTGCCATGTGTGCTTCCTGGGAAGCCACAGCCATTTTCCTCCCTCAGGATGACTGGAGGAGGATCATTCCTTTGGGATGTCCAACCACAGCTCAGCAGCAGCAAGGCCATACTTGGAAGCCCAGGAGGACATTGCTTTTTTTTTTTCCCCCCCTATCACTCCTGAGATTCCCTGAGGCTCTATGTTGCTTCTGGAGCTTGAGTGCTTTGGTTTTTCCTCTGATGTGTACTGTCTGTCCAAAGAAAAACACCAGAGAGAACATACATCTACAACCTCCTGTCTTCAGAGACTGCAGAGGAGTGTGCAACACATCAGGGCAAAGCTAAAGGGAGCCGACATCTCGACCTCCCCGATGGCAGATTAAAAAGAACCAAAAACCTCCTTCCGGCCTCCAGAGGAAAGGAGGGAAATCAGCAGCACAAAGTACAACAGGGACCTAAGCAAATATCAGCTCCTTGCCATCAGGGAAGCCAACAGCTTGTAAGTGTACCTTGATGAACCAGGATTTTTGTTTCTTGGCAGCATTTTCCATGCAGAATCCAACAACAAGAGCTCAGCATTCCCGACGCCTCTCGTCACAAACCGTGTTACATAAGGAAAAGCCAAAATACTACTTCTTTTTTTAAGTTCTTGCATATCATTGCCCTTTTCTTTTTTTTGCCTAGGTCATCAATGTAACGTGGAAGCACAAAGCAAGAATTCCTACCTTGGGAGCTCTGGCATGTTTCCCACATCTGGCATCTTTGACGAGGCTGATATCCAGCAGCTCGGTCTCCTGGAAGGAAAAAAAATGCAATACAAATGATTATGACATCATTCCAAGAGCCTTGTTGTGTTATCAGTGTCCCACTTGCCACATCTGGCAGGGGTTTGACTGTTTGCAATGATTCTTGTCCAAACTGGGATCAGCTTCAAGGAGAGCTCTGGTGCACTGAAGTGACTCCAGCAGCAACAGCATGCAGGTCCTTTTTGATATATAGATTATACAGAAGCCAAGCTGATTTCCTGCCTCACTAAATAGCAGCTGCTGTGCTTTTGTTTTAATCTTTTAAATACAATTTTAGCATTTTAATGCTAGTCACAGTGTGAAAAAGGCATGGTTGCAAACAGAGAACCTGCCTCAGCAATGGAAAACCTGCTTTGTTATTGCCAGGACGTTCTGAAAAGCACACCTGAAACCCAACAAGTGTTGTATCTACAAAGATAACAGGTTCCAACTATTGCAGTGGCTGCTGCCCAGTAAAAAAGATGTGCTTTTGACAAGCATTTCATAGTTCATGAGTTGCCCTTGAACTATGGGTTAGCCCACTGGAGTAAAACTGGCACATGGTGACAGCTGCTATGGGGCAAATCCCTGCCCTCCCCTCCACACGTGTAACATGGAGAGCCTCCTTTCCCTGATTTCAGCACTGGGAACGAGGAAGGATGCTGGAGATGGGAGCAGTGCTATTCCTGGCTGCCCGATCCCTTGGAAGCGCTCGCATCCACACGGCACCACTCGTGCTTTGCCAGGAGCAACACCAACTGTCCTGCAAGGACAGCAAGAGATCTGACCTGATTTAGCACTACTTGGCTGTCTTGAAGCACATCTTAAAACTCTCTACCTCACTTACAACCAGCATTTGGACTAATAACCTGTGGTAGAGTGGCTCAATGACAGACTAAATATAGCCTGAAATAAGTAACTGCAAATACTGTGTGGGGAATTCGAAATCTCTGTGCTGGACAAAGCCACTGCTCCTTCTCTTTTAAATTAAAAGAAAAGAAAAAAAAAACAAAACATAAATCATGGACATGTTATTTTACCATGAATTACTTTTGATCCTTATTTTTTTTTTCCATTTCAAGAGAGACATTTCTGCACAGCTCTTGCAGACCTTTGCTGTCAACAAATATTAACGTGACTGTACATTCATCACATTCTCCTCAGTCCCCCACAGCAATCCCAACTCCCTGCTGTTCTAGTATTTCCTCAGCTCCATGAGAACTTTTTTCTCCTCTTCAAGTAGCCTGTTGAAGGGAAACTTGCATTTCTGAGATTGTTACTTTTTGTTCTCCCTTGCCCAGAAGACGACAAGGGTAATGAAAAATTCCCAGTTCAGGAAGAAGTATCAGCATGGTCATGAATGAAAACCATGGAATATGGCAGAGCTAAATGTGGGCTTGTCACACTCAGAGCAAGAACCAAGGCAGGAAGCAGGGCTTGTATTTACCACAACAAATAACACCCATACCCTGACATGGTCTCCAGCCCACTGTGAAATGTTCTACAGAAGCTGCAGGCACATGCAGACCGTGTCATAAAAATCAGATTTCGATGACTGAAAGGACTAAAGAGTCCTAAAAATAAAGGCTTTAACAGCAAACACATGAGGGAAATTTAATATGCTGAAGGAAACCAGATCTTACACAAAGAGGCTGACCCACACACAGTGAATGTCACAAGGTTCTTTGGTTTGTTTGCTCGCTTGGTTTGGGGGGTGGTTTTTGGGGGGAAAAGGTTGAGGAGGTTTTTTTGTGGGATTGGCCTGGTATTTTACCTTTTTGAAAAAAAAAAAAAAAAAAAACAGAAAAGCAAATTGAATTAATAACTTATTCACTTAAAAAAGTACAACTAGACCTCCCATAACACAAAGGTAAGAAGATTCTTTAAAATGGAATAACGCACATTAGGAAGAGACACAAGAAAGGTAAAGGCAATGACCAGCACTCCCAGGGACAGCATCTGCATCCTCCTGGATGGAGAGGGATGAGGGACAGAGCTGGTTTGGAGTTTTGGTCCGTATGTTCAGGTCTCCAGAAGCAAGAGCCTGACAGGTGCTGCAGGCTGTGCTCTACAATAAGAGGACAAGAGCAGGATCTGCACCTCTGCAAAATCCCAGCATTTGGTGGGGCTGGATAAATCAGAATTCCTAATGTGTCATTTCTTAGGAGTTCTTTGGTTTGAAAAAACTGCCTGGAATTCCCTCACCCCGGGCATTCACTTTCATCTTTCAAACAACTAATTAAGAGGGCAGAGATCAACTTCCCAGCAAACAAGAGAAAATACCATTCCCTATTTCCCTGCTGCAAACCAGGGGCAGATTTCTGTGAAAGGAAGACACACTTGGGGAGTGGCCAGAAAAATGCCCCTTTTCCTGTGCAGCAAAGCAGCCCAAGCCCTCCTCCACCAAAGTCAACTGGAGTTTTGCTAATGACTTCCTCCAGGTGGGCCTGGAGCCTGCACTCTGTGCAGGAGGCACAGAAGCCATAGCAACTGGGGGAAGAAAAAAGAAAATCAATAAATAAAAATAAATAAAAACCACCAAACCTTCTGCAAGTCCAACTCTGCCCTGTTTAGAGACCTCCAGTCACTGCTGTTGGGACTTCCTAATCTTGCAATAGAGTAACATCTCTTAATGCAAGTGGTGGATCCCTCCCATCATTTATAACACAAAAATCCTGGAGAAGTGAATTATTAATCTCACCATCTTTGTTTTCAATTAACAGCTGGGACAGAGATGCATTCACAGAGGGTGCCTTGTGCAACCTCACTTTTATGGGTGAGCACACAGTTATGAAGGTAAGAGATTGTGCAACCCTCAGTGACTTCTTGAGCACTTATAACTAGGTCCATCTGAATTTAATATAGTAACACCAATTTATACCAGCTGAGGATCTGGCTCACTTCTATTTTAAGCTGCCCAAAATGATGCCAGGTGAGTCAGAGTGTCTTGGGAACTTGCTTGTGACACAACCCCAGCTACAGAGCAGGGTTCCTCATCGATCCCAAAGAGCCATGGGCAGCACAGCGGGCTGGGAGCAGCATCAACTGTCCTACAGAATTCCAGAGAACTATGTCAAGGAGACCAGGAAAAGTGGGTGTGCACGGCAACAGCTGCACAGGTGAGCTGGTCCAGAGAGCCAATCATTTTATACACATCCCTAAGAAAAACAATTCCACTCTGCTCCGAGTGCTCACTGCAGCTGGGAAGTCACACATTGCTCTGTTCAGCCTCCATTTCCACGTCCCTGCTGGTTGTTGGAAAGTCTGTTTTTCCCCAGTGTGTGAAATGTTGCCACGTGCCGCCAGCCACTGTGGAGCACAGCTGCCAGCCACTGCCAGCTCAGGACATGGTCTAACTCATGCACAGCTAATTAAACTCGGTAAACTCATTTTCCACTCAGCTGCGAAACCTGTGGCTCCTCACTTCCAACCTGAAGAAGAACCTGTGTGTTTGAAAGCTTATCTAAAGCTTCCTCTAAATATACCAGTCAGTCTACCAGAAGACACGAGACTGCCTTCAAAGTTTTCCTGATAGAGTGCTAGCAAAATAAACCTCAGAAAACTAAACCAGTTTGGTAAACAAACACCATTTTGTGCTACTGGATGGCAATATCTGGGCAAAGTTTTCAAAGGGAAAAAGCCAATTTGCTGAAACAAACTTCAAACAGAGAGTCAAACACCGGCTTCTACTGGGAATAGTTAATCATAATGAAATGGTTCTTTAATACAGAAATACTCCATTTTATCCTTTTCTGAACATGAAAGCACTGCATATCTCTGCAAGAAAAAACATTTGCAGTTCTGCGTTACTCTTATCTTTATTTTGCATTTTAAAGACGTTCTTTAAAATAAAGCCATGTGACTAATACCCTTACAACACATTACAAAGAAAATATTAAGATCAACATTTGAATCTGATGGGAAACAATTACAGAATCACAGAATCAATTAGGTCAGAAAAGACCTCTGAGATGGAGTCCAACCTGTGATCGAACACCACCACGTGAACGAGTTCGTGGCACTCAGTGCCACATCCAGTCTTTCCTTCAACACCTCCAGGGACAGTGACCCCACCACCTCCATGGGCAGCCCCTTTCAACATCTAATCACCCTTTCTGTGAAGAATTATGAAGAAAAGACAAGTTATCCTTAAGAAGTATCTGGCCCTGTAGGTTCAGAGCAAATCCACATGCGAACTCCATAATTTACAGCTGTTTATGGAATACACCTCATCCAGGTTTCGGAGAATTTTGACAGTGTACTGATCCATCAGCTACACTTGGATTAACTCCAGGATGAAGTTCCCTGCAGTGGGAGTGAACTCAGTGCCAGTTCAGAAAGGGTGCCTGCACAGCTGGAGGATGTCATGTGTCATCCCCCTGCTAAAAACATACCTATTTTTCCACATTATCACTAAGAACAAATTGAATGAAACACAGCAATTTGTCTCCTCTTCCCAAGGGAAAACCGTGGAGGACTGGTGAGACTGATTTAGCAGAAACCTGCATCAGGAGCTACAAGTAGGAACAGCAAGGCTGTCGATGACTTTAATTGGAGCTGAGCTCAAGTACTGCTGTGCTCCCCTGAAAGTCCCATTATATAACTCATAAGCTGCATCCCACTGCAAAGAGACAGTCCCTGAGGAAACTGTCTCCATGTTTCCTCCTGGCAGCACACAATTCAATTATCAGGCCTAGAAATCACAGGCTCCGTCAATAGACCAGTAGCAGAGCCACACGTACATCCTCAAGTCAACAGTAAAACTCGCCTCAACAACAGCAAAGTCTTTTTCTACCACGGTTCTTCACAAGTTCAAAATACTTTGTTACCTTCCCACCCACTTTTTTCAACAGCCCATTAAAAATTGTATCATTAATGCTAAAACTCACCGAGCTCCCCAAAACCACCAGACCTCTTGCAGCTCCTCGCAGGTGCTGCTCTACTCACAGATGGATAAAGCAGCAACAAGGCACTCAAATAATGGAACAAATGCTCGGGTCAAATCTCTT